GACTCTAGCCCTACCCACCTCCCCTTTTGCTGCTTCCTCCAATCAGAAGCCGCACGGCCAGCCGGGCCCTAAGCCAGGGCAGGAACCAGGTAGATCCTCAGGCCATCCTCAGCTTGGTAGGGATATAGCTTTTCCTCAGAGCAATAGGAAAGGAAAGGCAGGCGCTGGTCTCGTATTCCAGCGCTGCTGTGACTCATGCTCTGTACATGATTATCAACCATGGGACTGATTAGGAAGAATCACTGGGACCCTTCCTTGGAATCTAGCTGGGGCTTTGGTTCCTCCTTGAATACCAAAATCAGAGGATGCTGGAATCCCTTCTAGAAAATGGCATTCTGTGTGCATAGAATCTGTTCTTATTATTCTGGTTACTTATTTTTGTTTCCTTAATTTTTGCTTTGAATTTGGATCCTGACAGCATATTCAAGATTTTTATTCATATCTCCAAACCAAACATCTGAATGGCAGAGACACTGAAAACTCTCAGAAAGTGGAAAAAAGGGAGCAGAGTCAGGTGCTATTTCACAAGCAGCAAAGCCCAGGGCCTGGACACTGAGTCTGAGAGGCTGCACTCCTTACCAGATCACCAGCTGAAGATCAGACATCTGCTGCCCTGAGAAAGAATTCTGCTCTGGCCAAATGATTGGTACAAAGACAATAGTCAAAGAGGTAAAAACTCCGTCATCTCTGATTGGAAGTCAATAATTTAATGCATCCAGTTACTCTAATCTCATAAGAAAGCCCCACCAGGGACCTATAGGCTGAATATCTGAGCAGCAAAAATACTAATTCTTAAAACCGTAAGCAATCAGAAAGAAAAGATGCCTTCCCCAAGTTACCACCTGTTTCTCTATGAGGGGAAATTTGTCAATACTGACCTGAGGTGGAAACGACTGTTGGATTCTGCTTATGTCAGGAAAGTACTTTACAGAAGCAGGTTAAAACAAGTTCCACAAGCCTAGGTCAAATTTCCTTTATGTGCAAGGAGCCAGGCTTACATCCTTTACTTTGTTAAACCAGAAGCCTCCCATTTCTAGGCAGTGAGAATCCCTGAGTAAAGGAAAGTTTAATTCCAGTTGAAAATCACAGTTCAAACACCTGACTGCTCCCTTCAGTCAGCAGGTCTGTGTTGATCACATACTATCTACTAGTCATGATAGACAAAATTCTCTGCCCTCCATGAGCAAAAGATGTTGGTTGACTAATATGATAAAAATGTCCCCATGCCCTACTGTCCCCTCAAGGGGAAGTCTGCTATCAAGACAACTCAATTTCTTCTTCTGTGCAGTGTTAATTTCCAAGTTCACCTTCCCATCCAAGGCCACTTCCACATGGTGAGAAAATGGCAGCAGTGACATAGTCTTCTCTTTCTGACACAGTGAACCAGTGGCAATGCCAGTGTTACAGCTGGAGCCAGGGCAGGCGGCACACCCTGAACCAAGTCCAGGAATGGGGCACACAGGTGAGAGGTGGGGACCCTGAGCAAACACACAGGTACCCACTGATGCAGAAGCTCACCCACCTGGGAGTCCCATGCAAGACCTGCCTGTCCCAAGGGCCACACCCACAGGAGCCTGCAGGGCTTTGCAGATTCAGGGGAGCTAGCAGCCAGCCTGTCCACTCCCCGAGAGGTGAAACGCATGCCTGTGTCCGCTCGGCTCCCTTTTTCTCTTTCATTTTTCATCTGTCTTTATCAGTGGACGTCTGGAAAACCTAATTGTTGTTATTTCCATCTTGAACAGGCTAATAGGTATCAGAGAAGGGAATGCTTCATGGATTTTGTTTTTTGTTTTGGCTTTTTTTTTTTTTTTGCTTCCTACTGAATTACACAAATAATAACAACAACAATAACATAAAAGCCTGCATAGATAAAGAAACTGTAACTCGCTCTTTTGCCTTAATGAAATTTGCTCTCATTAAAACAGAACACTCCTCAGAGCCCCTCAATGACTTCGGTGTGCAGCATTCGCCATTCACCGGCACGAATGAGTTCCCTGCTTTAGAGCAGGGAAGGCTGCTATTTTAAAGATGAAAAAATTTCAGCTTCCGGATGGCTGCTTTCATGTAACACAGCTTCAAATGAATTTATGAACTGTTCTATAATGTTTTCTGCATACACCAAATGGCAGACTTTAGGCAGAAACCCAATATATGTTTAGTTAGTATATAATAAACACAATATTTACATGGGCTATGCACTGTGTTAAGAATCAAGAGCAGTTGCTCTATAAACTGTTATCAAATTCTCTAACGTAGAGCCCTAAACCAAGTGGTCCAGCAAGATTCCAGAAAAATTCTTGCAAGGAGAACCTGACCTCCTCCCAGTATACACACACATGCACAGGCACACACACGTGTGTACATTTGCTGGCACTTGCATGCTAATGCGCAAATCTAAGTTTCCGTCATTGTAATAAAATGTCTTTAATCAAAAATTTGATGACAATCTCATTTTCCTTAGTTGCTAGGATGATAATGTAGCTAAGATACTGTTTTTAATTTTAAAGATGTCTCTGATTTTGAAGGATGTTCCAAGAACAATGAAAGGAAGAAAGACAAGAAGAGAAGAAAAGAAAGAAAGAAAGAAAGAAAGAAAGAAAGTGAAAGAAAGAAAGAAAGAAAGAAAGAAAGAAAGAAAGAAAGAAAGAAAGAAAGAAAGAAAGAAAGAAAGAAAGAAAGAAAGAAAGAAAGAATTTTAATCCCAGTAGATAGAGAAGCCAGTTCGTTTCTTAAGCAATAAACAACTAGAGGGCAGGGACGCTGAACAAGCTCGCAAAGCCAAAATTTTCCTCTTTGAAAAACCCACTAGTTAGGCATAGTAACAGTTCAGTTGATATTTTCACAGTACAAACACGATAGTGGAAATTAAGTTGCCCCAGCAAATTCAGTTTAGTGGAAATTTGTTATGAATAAAATGCTGCTGGTGGGCCTAGAACATTGAATTTACCCACCAAATAATATCTCAGAAATACCACTTCAGAAGAAATCAGCTCTAAATAATTGATAAATTTGGTTTGTTTGGAACCCTTTTGACCTCTGTAATAGAAAGTAAAAACACATTTCAGTTATTAAAGTCACATATATTTCCTCTGCTAGCAGAGCTTTTAATTTTAAGCTGGACTCTGTAGAGGCCATTTGATAAAGCCTCCAGAAATTTTTCAACTGCTGCTGTTGGATTTGGGTCAGCCTCCTATGGGAAAATAGAAAAAGATAAATTTGTTGCTTTTCATAGCACACAAGAAAACTTCAGAGATTTTAAACATTAAGATGCATTAGAAGCAGAAGAATTTCCCCCATACTCGCTTCTGTCTCCCTTTCACTTTCAATCTATCTTCTCTCTTTCTCTTTCCATTTTCTTTCAAAACAAGGTTTAAATACTCATATTGTTAAAATAAAGAAATAGAAAGTCAGACTATCCCATTAATTAATATGACATTTCTTTTTAGATAAGACCAAGTCTCTTATCTGCTGCATTTAGAATAATATTTCTGAAGTTTCATAGAGAATATAACGACACTATTTAAAATGTTTTCTTTCTTAACCCTTTTCCAAATACACTTTTTAAATAAACAGTTGTATTGGCTTTCTTCCACAATAAAAGCATAACCTAGTGCACGTTACCCCACACATATGCAATCCAAAGTTTTATATTATATAGTGTTATTTTCAATATCATAAAAATATATTTTAAAAATGCAACCTCGTGAATCATTTGTGCAGTAAAAATGAAAGGAAAAGATTCATCTGCATTGCTATAATTACCTGAAATACATGCTTGAAGCCATAGCTCAAGCAAGAAGCATTTTCTAAGCACATCATAAATGCTGTGTCTTCAAAGTACACGTTGAAATTATGTTCCCACCATCCGCGGGTTCCTACCCAGCCTGCCTTGCTCTTGGAGTTGCTTTATGCTCTGTGAGCTCAGAAGGCACAGGATTATATGTGATCTTTATCAAGTTCCTCAGGAATCCAATTCACCCTTTGTACCCAGTAGATGATTAAAAGTACTCATTGTTAGAAAACCTTATTTTGACTCAAACATCAGAAACAAGTAGTGGTGCTGAGAGAAGTCCCACCCCATTAACCCATGGCCTATTGGAAAAAAATAGTGTGCCCTGAATTCTCAATTCTGTTCTCCAAAGCCCTTCTACTAAGGACCCCACATAGCAAGTGTCTTTGTGCCCACAGGTATCATGCCCCCAAGAGGCTCTGTCTCCTCCATCAGCCTTCTCCAGGTTATACCCAGGCCAAGCCTGCCCTTTTCCGGGAGCCTTTCACTACTCAGGTGCCAGGCAGCGTGTGCCAACTACAGTGGCTGGCTTCTTGGGGATTCTGGGTCAAGACTTGAGTATGAAGTCCTCAAGACATAGATGGGAAAGCTTTCTTATCTTGCCCTGCTGAAGCACAACAATAATTGACAACGACCTAAGTCTTTTGCCTGATCCTGAAACCTCCTGATGAAAACAAACCTGCATGCTGGACTGAAATGATCAAAAAATATATACACATGTCAGTAGGAGATGTAACTTTTTTGTCTCACAAGTGAACCTAATACAGGTGGTGGGTCAGAGAGGGGAGCTGAGAAATGACTGGAGGTGTTAGCATGAGGCCTTGTCTCAGAGTGCTAAGGCAGGAGAGTCCATGAAGAACTCAGCAGTGCAGCTATCCCTGACCCCTCTCCTGCACAAGCCAAGATCATGTTCACCTTCAACATCAGCGAAAAGCTTTCTCCACAAATATTTATATTCTTATATTTAGGCGCCAAATGACTGAAACTGCACAGCCCAATCTGCACCACAAAGAGGACTCTAAAAAAGTAGTGTCCACACCAAATCATGTGGCTAATACAAAAATAGCAAAAGGATAGGGGATAGGACCAGGGATTTAGCTCAGTGGTTCTGTTGCCTGCCTCACAAGCTCAAGGTCCCGAGTTCAATCCCTGGTACCGAAAAAAAAAAAATAGAAATAAAGGAAATAATCATCAGGAGGCTATGAGATGTTTAGTGCCCTTTGTGTTTTGTGAGAGTGAAACAGCTAGTGCAGAGAACAGTAAGGCGGTTCCTCAAAAATTAAACATAGAATCACAATGCCATCCAACAATCCTGCTCCCAGCTATAGCCAAAACATGAAGCAGGGTCTCCAAAAGGGCCTGCACACCTATGCTTCTAGCAGTACTACTCACAAGTCAAGAGGTAAAAGCATCCCACTGTCCAGCAGGAGCTGAATGAATATTTCAAATGTGGGGTACAAGCACAATGGAACATCTCTCATCTGGAAGACGAAGGAAATTCTAGCGAGTGCCACATGTGGCTGAACCTTTAAGACATTATACTAAGTGAAAGAAGCCGGATACAAAAGGAGCACTATTGCAAGGTTCCATTTATAACCCTCAAGGAGAAAGAAAATGGAATGGTGTCTCAGGGGCTTGGGGAGGGGAACAGAGAGTTAATGCTTAATGAACACGGCTTCCACCGGAAGATGAAGCAGTTCACAGCTGGATGGGATGATGGTCACACAACAGTGTGCATGTGCACTGTGAACCTCGTGGCTGCACTCTTAAAAACAGTTGAGCTGTGCATTTTCTGTTGTAAATACTTCACCATAATCGGAATTTAAAGTAGGACGCATGTTCTTTCTCACTAGGCACTCCTGATAAAAGCCAGTAAACCAATTAACAGCAGATCGCTCTCTTCAAGCCAGGAGAAGTGTGCCCAAAACGATGGATCCTACTGAATGCTCTGATGCTCTTCTGTTTTCGGTTGCCTCTGGGCCACTGCCTGTGTTTCCAGACCCTGCCTCATGAGCACTGCTGGTCCTTGTAAGTCTGCTTATGTTTTGCATACTTTCTTTCATTCTCAGTTTACTAAAAATTACTATTAAGCCTGAATCATTTATTCCCTTAAATTCACTGATCAAATTTTTCTCTTTAAGGACAGTAGTATTCTTTGGTTTCAAATAATTTTTTTTTATTACAAAGATTTTTAGGCTGCTCATGGTCTAGTTTCTTATATCAGAAGTAAGCTCTAGGTTTAATATAGTTGAAGTACTTTCGATTAAGCTTTTTAACAAGTTACACCTCTCCACCTACTGTGCCCTAGGACTTTCAATGAATCCTAAGTATTTTGTCACAAGAATATTTTTCTCACTTTGTGTCCTTCATTCTTATGTCTATGACTGTCAGGGCATGCCTATTATAACCTTATTTTTCTCAGCATGAATTCACAGATAATTAGGATTTCTGTCACCTAAGACCAGATCAAACCTCTTGGACAGAGTGAAACCGTACACAGGACTCCATGCACTTGTTTTTAAAAGAATTTTAAAGGGATACAACTAGTTTGATCTTATTTCTCACTTTTCTCAATGGATATCCATTATTTCTGCCCTAAGTGAGGCCCATTTGAATTAAAATATTCTTCACATGAAATATTTCTTTGGTAATTGAGCCAGCAATACTATCCATAAATATGGTCATTGCCATGAGAGTGTTTGTTGTATAAATAATTTCTCCATTTCCTTAATTTTCTGATGCTAATTCTGGCAAAGGTCAAATTTAAAGGACAATTTCAGCCAACCTTCACAGCTCTTCTAAACAAACCCACCTTTGACCAGCACCCTGGAGCCTAGTTACATGCCTGAAATCTGCTCACTGATCATTTGACCCTCAGTCCTACTTATATTACATCCATCACTCATTCAATAACTCCTTTTTCTTCAAAAGATTTTTTCCTGTGATCATGAACTTCTGGTTAGGAAACCTGAGTCCATGTGGAGAGTTGTTACTCTGTCATACTTAGTTTAGTAAAAAAGGGATGTTGCTCTTTCACATTTCTTTATTCACATCTCTTTATGATTACCAAAAGCAACCCAAAAAAGACAATATGGAGCAAGCCTTTTATGCTCAAAAATACAATGGGAGAGCTTGGTTCAGTCTAAAAAGATGCCATTTTACTAATTTCAAATTGCATTTGCTATTTCTATGCTACTTTAATCTGCATATCCTACTTCTAGAATAAAAAAGGAAAAAAAATATGTGACAAATGTATCCCCTTCCTTTGCAAACCCAGATTGAGTGCTGGCAGATACAGCCTACATGCATGGCTGGCCAGGCTTCTTGGTTAATATAAAACCCTCAGTACTTCACCTGGGCATCTCCTGTTCTATTTTCAACCAAGGTCTAGTGAATGTCTAACTTCCTATTGGACGTTTCACTTGAAATGGTTAACATTTCCTCCCTAGACGTGCCCCAAGCTGTGCTTATACGCCCCAAGGAGTACAGAGGTCTCCCTAACAGTGGCCCCTGATTCTGCCCTTCCTGCCTGGAGCCATCTTGGATTTTTGGTTCACCTCCAGGACTCCTGATCCTCTCCCATTCACCCTGCACTGACTGCCTTCTGAGGGCCAGGTTCTTTTTGTCTCTAGAGTTTCCAAAACCTTTCCCTCTGTCATTCTAGTTCCAATTCCCATTGTCTGTGACTAGGGTTAAACTCAACCATTGCCTTTTCTGCCCCCGACCCTCACCACACATCCTGGCAGACATCAGGCCTGCTACTGTCTTAGAAAGGTCTCCTTCATTAAATTACGCTCCTGCTCAGAGGCACTTGTAGGTTTATACTCTACTGGCTCACTCTACTGGCCTGTTTATGTATTTGCTAGATAGAGTAAGTATTAAGCACCTCGTGTACCTAGCAAGACTGCCCACACATGGCCTCCTACCTTTCTGACCAATTCCCATCCCTGGCCAGTGCATGATATGGGCTCAATAGAGAACGAAGCCTGATTGATTCCTGCTTCACACCATCACCTGAGCTCTCCAATCTTCTCTTCATCTTTCCTGCAAACCAAATTATTTCTATATTTGAAATTTTTCCTAATTCTAAATTTTACTGATATCACACTTTCTCATAAAACACCTAGCTGGACTCAATCCATTTCTCTTTCCTATCTAGGACTGCTTCTCACCAGCCACTGTATGAGCTCCTGCAGATGGGGGCCACCCAACATTCTTCTCTATGTCTTTTGAGGGGACACAAGACTGCTTTCGTATAGAAGAAAGTTGGTTCATTTCTTAGTTCCCTTCCATCCACCCTCCAATAGGCGTTATGAGACAACCTAGGGAGTTATTTGTGACTATATTTGCTCTAGCTACTTCAAGAAAAGCAAGGGCAAACTAATGGTTTTAATGAATATTGAATAAGAACTAAAAGTTTTCAGGAGACAGAGTGCAGCTGGGGGACCACTACAGAAAGCCACTTGGCGAGAGATGGGACACATTTTTACAGAGTCCAACACCCTCCCAGGTAAAGGGACATTTTGGTGGGTAATCATATCCCATATGAAAATACATTTGGGGGGCTTTTGAACTAAGGTCCTTCTGATTACTTACCCATTCAAAATCAGATGTCTCTATAAATGTTTGAATTAATAGGATGGGTGGAGTTGTTTAAAATGTTTCCATAACTGAGATCTTGGCCAGGGCTCCCCAGATGATTTGCATATACAGACTCTGTCAATGTGTTTCTGGAGAGTCTGGTAAAAAATACAGGAATGAAAGTCAGAAATTACATTTCCTGCTTGGCTTAAATGAGGGGAGACTTGAAGAGTGGGAGCTGCCTTCACCCTTGGCCAGGCAACAACTGTATCAGAGTGTTCTGTTTTGTTCTGGCTGGATGGTGTCTACTTATCAAAAGCAGGAAATTGCATTTTAACTTGGATCTGTAGGATGCTGGGGAGGGACTGATCTGGTTAGGAGGATAGAGGTGGGAGGATTAGGGCAGAGAACAGCTAGTACTGGGCCATCATTGGATCTGCAGCCATTGGGAGATTGGCAGAGACCAATACTGCATTTAAAAAAAAGAAGAAGAAGCGGGAGAGGAAAAAGACCTGGATGGAAGATTCGAAAATACTTGCCTTGTCCAGATGTGAAGAACTTGCACAGGTGTTTTCTGGATCTGGAAGGGACACTGCGCATGCAAAACTCAGACTAGAGAGCTGTGCTAACCAGCTATGCCACAACACAAGTGCTCATCCAGTTAAAGGCCTGAAGAAGAGACAGGCTCAAAGTCATCTGATGCCAGAGGATAGGCATCATTGATATTGAGACAGGAATATTTACACACCATGAAAGAGCTTGGAGGAAGTGAAGGAAAGGCATGTTTTGTGAGCAGTCTTTTGTTTATGCTCAGTTTGTAATGAATGTAGTAAGAGATCTGAGGACTAATTTTAGCTAATGAAAAGACAATGAGACCTATTAGGGAGTTTTAATATACAGGAATATGAAAGCCAAATCACATTTATTCACTCCTCTGTAAACAAAAGCAAATAAATACTAATTGGACATTTAGCAATTAAAATTTGATCTAATAGCATGCATAGAACTAGATGATTCTTACCTTTTAAATAGGTGCTCAGAAAGCTTGGATTCACTCATTTTCCAAATAAAAGATATGTGGTGTACATGTGTGTGTGTGTGTGTGTGTGTGTGTGTGTGTGTGTTTCAAAGAAAAGGAAAAAAAAAGCAAGGAAAGACAGGATTTAAATATAAAACACAGCACACACAGGAAAATGCAGAGTTTATTAGAAAGCAAAGTGATAGGAGAGAATTTCACTAACATTGCATCTTAAAGTCTAAGCTGGAAGTTTGTCTTCTTTAGTTGCTTGTAAATTCCTGTAACTCAAGTCATATTACAAATATTATTTAGACAAGATAAATAATAAGTGAAATACTCAAAAAACACTACTATATTTTCCTAAATCTCCATTGCCTTTTTTTCCCTTCACCTTAGTTCAACAGTCTTTCTGTAAGGAAAACAGTTTTTTTTTCAATTTTACTGTAAATATTAGTCCTTCAATAATAACAGTAAAAGACTGCAATTCAGAAAATCAATTCGATTAAAGGTTTACTTTTTTTTTTTTTACAAAGTCCTTTTTTTTTTTTTTCAGAATGATGCCTACAGACTTAGAACCAGACATTCACTAAGGAGACTTTTCACAGCATTCTTCATATAAAACTACAGGCAGAGGACTTCAGAAAGGTGAATTCAAAAGGAAAAGAAGGACAAGTTTACCAAATGTAAAGAAGTCAGAGCTATTATCGAAAATCTTAATGCTCATAGATCTATTTAATTAAAATATTAAAAGAATCAGCCTCCCCTTTTTAATGGTAATATTTAAAGGAAGAGTTTTGCATAAGAAAGGCCTAAGCTTTATTTTTTTTTTTTCTTTACTTACATCCCAAGCAGGGCTGGTTAAAACATAGTTAACGTACCAGCTGCAATTAGCCAACTGTCAAAGGCTCCGCTCCCAACAGTCGATCAGCTTCATTTAACTAATTTGAGAAGTGGAAGTTTGATTTTCTTTTTTTCCAGGAAGGTAGCTTGTTTCCTTATTTCCTGTCAAGGGAGCCAGGTTCTGTGACCTATGGTGAAAAGGGCTCTTTGTAATTAAGACAGGGAGTCTCCAACTCAACAGTTCTCACAGTAGGAGGGAAATTTAAAAAAAAAAAATTTTTTTTTGAGGGAAAAAAAAGAGGAGGAGGAGGAGGAGGAAGCCAGACACCACCGCGTCGCCGCAGGCAGCAAGGGGAGCGCAGCCAATGGGGGGCCGCGCCGCCGGGCCGGGCGAAGCCATTGGCTGAGCTCTGCTCTGGAGGCCGCGTCTATTAAGACCTCGCCTGGACCACGCGGGGCGGGGCTCCTTGCGTAGCCAGGCCGGGCACAGGCTACCAGAAACCGATCAACCGTGTTATATCAATAACATTCCCACACCAGGTTGTGTAAATTGATCTTTTACAATTTCTCTCGGTGACAGTCTCTGTAACCAACAAGATAAATCATTCCTCCCGTGGCTTTTTTATTGATTGCTGAGACCTGTATAAAAATTACACAACTCAAGCCGCGAAAGGAACATCCTCATAAAAGAAGACTTTTATTTACAATCAAAATATGTTCTGACCCAGATCAAGCGCAGATTTAGTGGCGCAGAACTACAAGAACACGTAAATTGTTGGACTCTGAGGAAAGTAAAAATTAGAAACACATCTTCCCACATTTCCACCATCCCAAACTTAGACAATCTTCATCCCGCATCTCAAATCGAGGACGCTGCTTTGTTTTCCGTCAAAAAAGCAAAGGTTTGGGCCGGGGATTTAGCTCAGA